CACCGGCGAAATGCGATAAAGTTGGCGTAGAGGTAATTTGAGTATAAAGTTTTATTCGCAATAATTTAACCGCGCGGGCGCGGTACGGTCGGCAGGGCGGAGGGGGGGGAAGGGAGCAGAATCGAGGATAAGTAGGGAGAGAAGGGTGTTCTCTCTCGCGCGCGCACCAGCCTCCGGGAAGCGTGCGGGAGTGCGGGTCATATATTTGATGGGATACTTGGCATAAAGTCGCGCATAAAAGTAATGCCGGCATTAAAGTTTGCGGTTCCAGAGCCGGTGGCACAAACCCGAACCCATCTCCCGTGCTCCTCTCCTGTTCTCGTCGGAACGCCGCTCGCGGTGGCTGCCTGCGATTCTCCTAGCCGTGACGACGTGGGTGATAGCGGGGGTGGGTGCGATGGTACGCGAGCTTCTATCACCGGAGCCGGCGCGCGTAATGCCCGCGCGCGTTTTGGACGCGTCCGTTATACTTTCTGCGATCGCTGTCGGTCTGTCAGAAATAAATTCCGCCCGATAGAGGAGTCGATTCGGCGGCGCTATCAACGATGTATTCGAGACGCAAAGTCGCCAGACACGCTCGAGCAACCTCGGCGATTTATACATCCCCGCCTATCGTCGCGCTGTTGAGAAAGAAAGAAGCATGTGCGAGCGTGCATTTTTTAACGCTTGCCGCTCGTGCAATCGCGAAAACACGAGGCGGACGACGAGGTGGCCGACGTTGCACGCGGAACTGTGCGACTTTTCTTTTTTTTTTTTTACGTAACTTTTCATTTGCATTCTCCTCTCCGAGCGTTTCGCATGATATAGTTCCGGAGTGCCGAGTAAATGATTCTTCCCGCACTTCCACTTCTTCTTAAATTTCTAAGTACAGTCTCGAGATTTAAGCGGCATGCGGCTGCGACATCCACATACTTAAGGCGTACGGCGAGGAAGCTCAACTTCAGGGTGGGAGACGGCACTTCGGGATAGGTAGCGGAGCAGTTTAGTTCAGGAGTGGCCGTTGGGGAACGATCTGACGGCGCCAGGGGAGGCATAGCTTCTTCCCACGTGGCACCCCCAACATACTCTACCCTCATAATTCTGCCAAGCCTTCCTCCCAGGCGCCACCTCCGGTTTCTCTTAGGCGTCGCAACCGTGAGAGCGAAGGAGAGAGCTGCTCGGCTTCGTGTCACTCGTGGAAAATTCCCCTCCCCGCTTCTTCTTCGCCGAAGGATCGGCAGAAGTTTCTCTTCTCTTCTCGCTCTCAAACGAAAACCGCCGCATGATTTTCCGGCGACAAACTTGCAAGCTTCGATGGCGTTCTCGCAACCTCGCGCTGAACCGTGCAGCAGCCGACTCGAAATTTAACTTTACAACGCGTGATTATTGAACGCGACTTCAGTCGAGATTTAAGCAACGGACACAGCCGCAATTACGAATATGTCGATAATCACCAATGTACCGACATGTGGCATTGTAAAAAGTCAATTGCATAACTTGTGCGTCGTAATGCATTCCGCATTTTAGTAGTATTTTATTTCCCGTAGTGTCAATGTGTGCACTTACTTGCGATTTATCAGACTCCTAAGCATGGGAGCTTAATTATATAGATGCAAGGAGTAAGGCAAGTCGTGAAATCTGTGCTGGAAATCGTCGGGCTCGCGTCGTCTCGCGCCGCAGATCGCAACGAGAATCGCCACGGGGAAAAGCACAGAAGAAAGGGCGCACTCAATGATTAGATGAAGTACCGGAAAGGTAAGGGAGAGAGAGAGAGTAAAAGAGGGAGAGAAAGAGAAAGACAAAGAGAAGGAAAGAGAAGAACAAGAGTGGAGAATCGAGCACGAAGGGGGAAACATTGTAGCGTCAGGAAAATGTTGGGGTTACGTCGTACGAACTTCGTTCTCATCCACTCGCTTCTCTATTTTCCCGGCAACCTCTGCCCATAAAAGACTCTCTCTCTCTCTCTCTCTCAGACTGCCCTTAGCAGTACACCCTGTTCTCGCGCGATCGATACGGTCTCTCCCTTTCAAAAATGATGGCTTTTTGAGGGATCAAATGTTCCACATTGCGAGAAGAAAATCAGTCTGATGTCTCCGTTAAAGAGATGTTCGATCTTCGATATGGCTAGTGATAATCGAGATAATTATTCCTTTGAAAAATTGTAAAATTCGATCTTTCTTGATTTTGCGGTCGTGTCAATTTTTCAACCGCAACACACGAAAATGATGATGCATCATCGCGATCGGCTTGCGCAAAAACGGCGCAATTTCTCGATCAATCTTCGACGTGAGTTGCCTCATTTTTCGCCGGTGGCATAGAAAATTACCGGACGGCTGCTGATATTTAGCAATGCATCGATAACGAGTGCGCTCATAGAGGATTACGTTAATTAGAACGCCGAGGCATAAGCGCGATGAATTTTAACGCGAAAGCTCTTATTCGGCTGCATTCGGCCGAACGAAGCGCACCGTGTCGCAACGGTTCGCGCCATCTGTATTGCGATATAATCTGCACCTGTTGTAGCAAAAGGACTGTGCCTCTCCCCGGGCGCCGTTGCATTTATTAGATCGCCGATTACGCTCATTATGCCGCGCGAGTGAAGTCGTTACGTGCCGCTTCGCGGAAGCCACGCGCCTGATTTTCATCATTCGCGAAATGCCTCTCGCGTTTCACCGCGGCGAAATAATAACGCATTGCCGGCTCTACAGCGAGCGGACACGGCAATATTTTTACCAAGCCGTAGAATGTTACATCTTGACGGAATATTTCTGTCAAACCGCTCGATATATTTTCCTCGGAATCTCGTCGCGTTCAATTTTTATCGAAATTTTAGAAGCGACTTAATCACTTGGTGTCGATTAGCGTTGATTATCGTTCACGCGGCAACGGCGAGAATGCACACGCGGCTCGATTAACTTTGCCGTTATCGAAAAACACGATGGCGATTAGTTATCGCGCGAGTGTGGAGCCCGCGCGTGTGGGGAGCGACGCGCGATAACTCGTCGGTTTAGGATCGCTGATACCCCGGCCACCCTAGAGTCTAACCTTGATAAGGATCGCTGCTAATTGTTGCGAATTGGTGAAGGTGGCGAACGAACGAGGGAGGTTGGGCAACAGGTGTCATCTGATTGATCGCCGTTGCTCGCACCCCCACGATTACCTAGCCCACAAACACATCCACGGCAGAAACGAAGGACTTAATGTCGATCCATTACGTACTAGCCCATCCCGGCGAGGAACGGTTGACCTGACGCGCTCCAAAGTGCATTACGAGGCGAAAAAGGACGATCGTGGAAAAAGAGCGGGACGTCTACCACATTCTGCGATCGTGTGCGTATTGTGTAACGCACATCGCGTATCGTTCTCGTGCATCGCTCCGCGCAAAACTTTGAATTTATTTCGAAATATTTGTCAGCGGTGTGGAAATAAATGTAACCGGCTATATCTTTGAAAAAAATCGGAGCTGCACTGTTGCTTTAAGTGTTGCAGTTGAGTAATATTGTAATTTCAAATTAATACTCCGTCTGTCACATACAAATTTCCGAGTTAGGGAAAAGGATTCGACCGATTTGTCACCGTGCCACGCTCATTCCGACGAGTGTATTGCAGGCCTGTGGAAGCAAAAAGTCGGGCGTTTCTCTCGAAGGAACGTTAAATCATCCAAGACTGAATGGGCGTTCCGGACGCGGCCGGTCGTCGGCGCCGCGACGCGAAGCGCGCGACTCCGCTCGCGCGAGAAGTTTCGCGGCGGAGAGTCGCGCGAGATTAACGGCGCGTCGCCGTGAATATTCACCGGGATAATTGATACCGACGTCCGTAGAACGGCTGACCGTTGAAACCGCGCGCGGCAATATATCACCGATAATAAGCAACCGATGCACAAGCCTCGTATCCCGCGCAAGCGGGGGTGGAGAAAGGGGAGAGAAAGAGAGAGAGTCGAGACAGCCACTTCGTTGTGGCGATCCGTCGCGGCGATTCTCGTCGATGCGACTACGCGATACGGCGCGACGCAGTTCCGCAGAGTCATCGTCGCTGTCCGAAGGTAGCGAGCGACGGCCCCCGTCGGTGAACAATGGCGAGCGGCGAGTCGCATCTTTGCGTGTGCCACGACAACGAAGCCCGTCCGTTGCGTACGCTCGCGGTAGGTAGGCAGGCAGGCAGGGTCCAGGCAGGACGCCGAGGAGGAATGATCGTGCGCGAAGTGACCCGCGTAATCGTAATTAATCATCGTGTAACCCGTGACTCGCGCGCATCGATATCGCACAGGGCGGCTTCGCCGGTTATCGCGGACGTCGGGCTCGCGCTCGCAGCGGCGATGTCGGGATTTATGATCGGCCGTGATGGAATTGGAATGAACAATCGTTACCTTCGTCGGGGCAGCTCATTCCGCTCTTCCGCATTGAACGTAACAGGCGCTCGTATATATCGAAGTAGCGAGGAGATTATTTTCAGGAGTGAATATCTCCGCGATGTTCCAACTGGTCTGAAAAATAAGAGAAACGCGTCCGATTTATCACATTTATATCCCTTTATGCATTAAATACAGTCTGCGCGATTTGAATTAGCAATCGTGCAATCCACGGCCGATCGTACGATATCTTGATCTCTCCGTTTATCACCGCTCGAAAGAGCCGCTCGCTCGCGCGCGCGCGCTCAACAGGAAGATCTTGTCTCGTAACAATACCAGGCCTCATCATCGATCTCGAACGCGAATCCGCTCCGCGCCCGACGGACTCGGAATTAACAATCGGTACTTTGTGCCACTCCATTGTTGCGCTATGAAGTCACTGTATATTAATAGATACGCAGCGTTCGCGCTCGCACGCAGTAGATGCACTACACTTTGCCGAAAGCGTTTTCAATGAGATTCAAATCAGCGAATAGCGTCGCGATTTATTACCGGCCGGCGCGATCTGCTCGGATATTTAATCGAGAAAGATAGAGGGAGAGAGTAGACGTCTCTCTCTCTCTCGGTGACATAGCGGTTTCGCTACAGGGCTCGTCTGACCTATTGTTCGCAGGATCGTGAGGAACAAGGCGGCGGAGAAGGCGAAGCACGCGCATCAGCAACAGCAGGCACAGCAGCAGCAAGGTCAGCAGCAAGGTCAGCCGGGATCGGGCGGCTCCGTGTCGGTGATAGCGCACGCACCTGCGACAGCGGCGGGCCAGCCCGCTGCCACCGCTCCCAACGCCTACAGCATCAGCGGTATCCTGGGCATTCCGGCGCACCATCAGGATCCCAACGGCAACAGCATCAAGAGGAAGCGCAGCGTTGACGGTGAGTCACTCACTCGCGACTCTCCTCGTTTCGTGTCGCTGACCTCCTCGCGCTTCCTCCGCTCGCGCATCCTCTCGCAGCGCTCGCTGCGCGCTCCGTCATCGTGTAACATTATTCAATACTGAATGCCTATTATCGACAGCGTGATCGCTTTAGTTGAGATATCGAATTGCAACTGAGCTTGCAGAAAATCCCGAGGCGAAACACAGCGTGGCGCGAGGGCATGCGTCACGCGGTGAGGAAGAAGCGATGCTAATATCGCGAGTATAAATTGCGGGTATAAATCGAATAGCGGACGAGAAGATGCTTCCTTGTAACGTTCCAATAGTTGGAATTGTATATACTCTTGCTCGTGATAAGTGCGCGTCGTGAAAAGCCGCGATAACTCGCTTATGAAAATTAGCGGCGCGATGTAAGTTTTAAGTAAGAAATACGATACCATTTTGCGCGCCATCGTTACGGCCCAGCGAAACATCATGAGAGCTGAGTCGGTTTACACGCGAGGACTGCAGACAATGGAGAAGTTGAACAATTTTACAAAGACTCAAACGTTAATATATTACGATGACATCGCGGGAACCGTCAGCGCCAATTTATGCGCACTTATTGTCTCATTCTCGAGCATTCCAATTTTCGTTATCTTATTTAATCGCGAGAGACAAAGGCTTGCAAATTATATCTCATCCAACTGTGATGTCTAATGAAACAAAAGACAGGATGAAGAATCTCGATTAATGACATATTTTGTACGTAAACAATTTTGTAGAATTAATGTATAAAAGTATATCGATATTTTCTAGTGATCAAAGTTTCATTCTAGTGCGAATTTGTCGTGACTTTTTTTTGCAAATTATTATTTTTTTTATTTTTTATAACAAAATACAAAGAATTTATTTTAATATTTTATTTGAATAAAAATTGAACAATAATATTAATGATCATTGAAGCAAAACGGCATAAATAAAACGTGACGATGTAAATATTTGTTTGTCGGGACAAATGTTTTGAGCTGAAATGTTTTCTAGTCGCATGTGCTCATTTGCGAGCGATCGAGCTACTCGGAGCCACTCGTTGCCCCGAGCGAACCAAGATTAGCCGCACATACAGCAAGATTATCAGTCAAACGTCGCCGAGCACGTGTTGCGATTCATTCTGCTGTCATTGCGTGAATAACGCGGCCCGAAATATTCTTGACACGTGCCGGGTACACGTGACCGACCAAGTCGTACTTTAGCCACGCAGGAGAGAATTTTTGCTCGCCGATCTCGAGGAATGGATTCGCCGCCCGTTTGGCAAAATGTAAAACAATCCGCGCGTCCTTTCCGATTCTGGAGCAATAAAATTCTCCATCTGTGTCAGCGGAGACAATTAGAATAATTCGATCGCCGTGATTCCGCGGAGAACGAAAATTCCATTCCGCGCGATACGTACGATTCGCGGCGGTTACGCGACGATGCAGCCGCGCGGGGGGAAACCGCGCGCGTGTAAGCTCGATCAAAATTCCGCGAGCGCGCGTTTCGCGGCGTGGATATATCGATTCGTACGCGCGGGAGCGCGCGGCGCAGTATGCCGATGGTTGTACACGGGTAATTCAATATAATCGGATTATGAGAGCGGCGATACGCGGCCGCAAAAGCGGTCGCGTCCGCGGTGAGAGCACTCAATGTTTTGCGAGCGCGCGCGCTTGCTCGCTCGCTCGCTCGCTTTCGCGCCGCGAGAGAGAGGGTAGGTATACGTATTAGATTATAAACTTCACAGACCACAGGCGGCTTCTATCTCGGCCCCGACGACACATTAGCCTCCCTATCCTCCGGGGAGATCATCGGCGTTATACGTACGCGTGTATCCTCCTAACTGTCTGGAATTTCAACGAGCGAGCGTTCCGAGCGTTCCTCCGCTGCCGTGCGTCGGAATGTAAAAATTGACCGAGCGTCGCGTCGGGCCTTAGCCGCAAGTGCTCAAATTTAATGAAACTCTCCGGACAGAGAGGCGCGCTCGGGAAAAGCCGTGTTGACCGGGAGCGATCGATGCCGCTTCGACTTTCCAACGGTGGCAAAACGCTGCTGTGCACTGTGACGTGACTCGAGGTGTACTCTTTTGCCGTAATTACTTCACTTAATTATTGTAACAATAATACGATACGCCGCGCGGTGAAAGAGGTACGCGATCGGGAAAATTGTCGCGGAAGATCAAAGTCCGCGAGCGAGCGCGGATGTTTCCGCAATTTGGGATTCGTCGGTCGAGAAAAATCGGAGCAATCCCGGCGCGGCGCGCACGCCGTATTATTTATGCCTCCGATGAACGAGCCAAGACATACCCGTGCCCAAAAGTTCCCGGAGCTTATTACGAATTTACGAACCGGCCTCTCGAGGGAAGCATTGGCAATCTATCGGGGCTGTTTGTTGTCGCGTTACATCTGCGCGCTCCTGGCCCCATGTAGAATCCCGGAGCCCGGCGTGTCCCACCCTATATCTCCCCTGGACTTAGGGGACACGCCGCAGGGCCAGATTCGCCCCAAAGTCCATTATTACCCGTGTATTGTATTGCTTAACATTGACTCAATTGCTTTCGAATAACGCGAGCGAGAGAGCGCCCGCTCGCTCGCGCAAGCGCGTGCTGCTTCGCCCTCTCGAGCATCAATCGAATTATTCGATTTACTGCTCTTTTTTTTCGAGGGGGGACATCGCTGACCTTCCTTCCGCGCGACATAATTCATTCGTTGTCAAATCTGTCGAGAGCCGACTACGACTCGGACTTTTCGGAGCTTACGCACTTCGGTTCGCATAAAGGTCAAGTCTCGTCAGATGCGTATCAAGCTTTTGCTATCGAAGAACACATTATAATATATCGATAGTTTTTAATTTTTTTCAGTTTTACGCAAGTGTACAGTGCATAAAAAGTTTCCGCGTAAAGCAATTTTTCATAAATTCACTGAAAAAAGACGCGAATAAAAACGGAGCGATATTAGCGGCTGGTTCGCGACAGCCCTCGTCGATTTTCCCGACTCATCGCGCGAAATCCGAGAGTAACTCTGATTGCAAAGTGTAACGGCAACATTCCCAGGAAGCGTCCTAAACTTCAGCGAAGCCGTGCTGTACGAACGCGTACACCGCGCGGCTTGGCCGCGATTAACTCGGCCGATCGAATCGTAAAATTCGAGCGGGAGCGGGAAGAGGCCGCCGCCGCCGGTGTGCGCCGTGTTTGAAACGAGGGTTTTATAGCGGTCCAGGAACAAACTCTGCCGCTCGAATGGTCGAGACCGTCGCTCTCTCGACCGGCCGGACAATCACAACTTGACAGGGAGGTTTAACGAGCCCTATGCTAGGCGCGCCACCCCGCCCGACCCACCCTCGGATGGTCATTTAATTATTCGAGATACCCCAGAACGTTGGGCCATCTACCCCCACCATCGGACGTTTACGTCCGTACTGTCGTCCCCCGTGTCCCCTCCTTTCCGCTGTCCATCCCGGCGAGCTCTCACCGGTCGGTTCCGTTCTCGGCCTCATCCCCGGCAAGGGTTCGCGATGTCCACCCGTCCCCCCCTCCGGCATCGGAATAACGACACTCGTCCCACGTGTCTGTTTCTATATTAAACCGCCGGGACGAGCGGGAGATAATAAAGACGTATAATGGAATCGAAATTGTTTCTCTATCTATCAATGCCATACGCCGTCTACGCGCGAGCCGCGCCGCGCCGCGCCGCGCCGCGCCGCGCCGCGCTCGGTCCACTCGACAGATTCAATTTAGTTTCGGCCTGCCACGTTTAATTTGTGTCTTGATTCGTGGGTAATACGAGAGGCCGCGTATCGGCCCCGGTCTGCGTGTGTGGGTGAGCCGCCGTTCTGTACATGCGATCGCGCCGGCTGGATGCACCGTCGTCGGTCGGCCGATCCATTTTCCCTCGCGTTTCGAAATTATCAAATTCGAGATACCGACGGAAATGGCATCCGCCGAGGCATTCCCGCTCTAATATTGGAATCGCAATGCTGCGACTCGCGATTGCAATGTACGGGGAATGCGCGGATCGTCGGAATCTAAATGGAATTCTGGTTTTGAAAATTTTAATTTCTCTTTCCGATTGATTGCAGACGACAACCGCGACCTGAACGATCACGCCGAGAACGACCTGAGGAGGCAGAGAAGCAACTACAACGGCGATCAGCTGTATTCGAACGTAAGTATCGGGGAAACATTTTACGCAACAGTACAGTTGAATAAATCAAGCATTCACCCTCTCATAGAAATGCATTAAATCGCACAGCAAACTGCTATAGAACTTACATTATCGTACGGGTAATTGGAATCAAGTTACTCTGAAATCTCGGGCGTAGGTCAGAGTAGCATATCTCAATTAAAACGCCCTAATCAATCAAAAGCGAAGGCCAAGTTCCACAGAACCTCTCCGCATAACTCTCGGGCAGCCCTTGCGGTGATCGCGGGACCGAGTCGGGGCCGCGCCGGGCTACAGCATCCAAGTCAATCTTGGCGCTTGTTCTCGGATGTCCCTCCAAACTCGCGAACTTCGACTTCAGGTTTCCGCCGCTTCTGTGTTGCAGCTGTGGTCGAGTAAATGGAGCATCAAGGACGAGCACAAGCTCCTGAGCGAGCTCGGCAACTGCGGAGGCGGAGGTGCGACCGGCGGTACGAACGGCAGTGGAAACGGCGGCGGTGGAAACGGCGGAAGTGGCGGAAGCGGCGGCGGCGGCGGTGGCGGCGGCGGTGGCGGTGGCGGCGGCGGCGGCGGCGCCGGCGGCGGTTACTACGAACACGGATTCCCCGGGAACGCTATTGCCACCTCCGCCGAGCTGTACGACTCCCTGGGCACCATCAGCACGATGACGCAGGCGCAAACGCCCCATCTCTACACCCCGCCCATAGGGGGTACCATAGGTGAGCGCGCTCTCGTTCCCTCTCTTTTCACCCTCCGGCACCCTCCGACACCACCACCATCACCATCCCCTTCGCGTCCCTGTCTCTCACCGTCTACCTTCTCTTTCTCTTGCTCGCTCTCTCTCACTCTCGCTCTCTCTGTTTCTCTCTCTTTTTCTCTCTCTACCGTATCCTCCCCTCGCACGGAAATCCCAGACAGTGTGTGCACTTGTACGTAATGCCGTATACAGAGTCCCATTCCCTCCACCTTCCTTTCCACCCTCTCCTCACTCCCGTTGCGCTGAAGACTCCCTCCCTCTCTCTCTCTCTCTTCTCTCTGTCTCTCTGTCTCTCTCTCTCTTTCCCTCCCTCTCATCTCACGTCTCCTCCCAGTACGCTTATTATTGCGGCTTACGTCTTGCTTTGCATACCCATATCGGCTAAATACATGGCTTTAATAATGCATGAGCTGTGCCGAGCAGCGGCAGAAGAGGTGGCGGAAGGCTCTCCACACGGTGGTTCGGCGTTTTCAGCTTTCGGGAATATACCGCTCTCACTTCCCCATCAGCAGTTTCTCTCTTCTCCTCTCTCTCTCTTTTTCTTTCTTTCTCTTCTTATCTACTGTCAAAATGATAACGCCGGGATCTTCTCGTCCGCGGATTTCTTCTTCACCTTTCTTGCCCACCCTTTGCTCCCCACCAACCCTTTTTCAAAGTTCACGTATACACGTTCATGCTCTTTCTCTCTCTCTCTCTCTCTTTCTCTATCTTTCTCTCATTCTCTCCGCTCTTCATCTCGCTCTCTATCTTTTCTTGCGCCGTTTAAAGGCGGTCGATCAGCGGCGGAACGTATACAGACGGCGCGAGCCATTGAAAAGTAACCGCCGAACCGCGGATACACAACACACGAGCGGAACTTTCTCCGGTAGCACGTGTTGCGAGCAACCCGGTCACGCCGCGTCGCGCCGCGCCGCGAATTCACCCGATCGGGTGCTCTCCTCTCGGAATGGACCAAGCGAGCCGTGTAACGGCGGCTTCATCTCATGAAATTCAATCGAGGATCTTCGCCCCGGATCGAAGGATTTTTGAGGAACGACATAAGCGTTCCAAGTTCGCGATCGCACGGCTTGCTACCTCGCCGTTAATATGTAGCAGTATCGCGAACAAGACGGTTCCGGTTTCAAGAATGTACGCGAAAATACTTCGACTTCGAGCACTCTTTGAGCGTACGACGCGACGAAAACTTCGTGCTGTAAAATATTCTTGTAATTTTTTTTTTATCGCAACGATTCTCTCGCAAAAACATCCTTCGAGTCGAGAGCGTGCGCTGAGACGGCTATTTAACGTTCCGCGATGAGACGGCTATTTAACGTTCCGCCTTGATCGCCCGTCGACGATACGAGGAACCGCAATAACGGAAAAATGGGGATCCCTTAATAGCAGGTGGTACTTTGACGCCGCTCGCGCCACTGACGATGCAAGAACTAAAATTGAGCCAAACATTGGACGGGGCTAACATGTCTCCTTACCACACCACCGGTGAGTTCGCCACCTCTTTTGAGTCTCTCTTACTCCGCCGCGCCAAGTTATGTACACCTGTCTCGCTGAGCATACGGTTTTACTGAGCCTCTCTCGGATATGCGCGTATGTCCAACTAATATGTCCGTGTCTCAAGTTGTGTATCACCACGTCAAGTACTGATGGTGTTTGACTTGCCGCGAGATCAAGCGCGGCGTCGCCCGCTCTCCATCAGGATCCTCCTACCACCCATGACAGCCACTTTGTGTTTTACGTCCAACGAATCTGAAACTTACACAGAAACATGCTACAGACGTTTTAGCGCATTAAAGATGCAGCGGTATTCATTCTTTTTTTATTGCATTCCACTTGTACATTTAAGTCGAGTAAAATTCTAATTTTTGCCTGTATAAAGATTTTTTTTTCAACGCTAAAATTTATGTCGATCGAAAGAGTAAAGAAAATCGGAGAAGATTTAAAGTAGGTTCGTTGCAATATCGCGAAATTAAGATCCCAGATCCCGATTCTCCTGCCGATCCTTACCGAAACAGTTTAATTAAGCTTTAGACGTAAGGCGCTGATCGTTAGCTAGTGCTTGACTCGAATGTCGTGTTGTGTTGTGCATGGCCATAGCTGAGAGCAGTACCGTCGCAGTATCCTATGTCGGGGTGGGGGCCGGTGGGGGCGAGCAAAGTCCCCGATTCGTTGCAGAACGAGACAAACGCCACCCCCGCGGCCCCCAACACCCCCGGAGGGGATCCCCGGACTGACGGTCTTGCAGCCGCCAGTTTCTCAGCCCCAGGTAGCCACTGCGATACCGCCGTACTCGACGATGCTACCAAGTTTCGGACACTACGCTACCGGTGAGTACAATCAGAAACCGCTTGCTTAACCGTCTGTCAAGGACAAGCGCGCTCGTGTACCCTCCGGGGGTTGAAGCCGGGGGTTGAACCGGGCCCGGCTGTAACGGTCGGAGGGTAAGTCAGAGCTCTATCGGGGAGCGCTGATTTACCAGTTCGAGGCAGCGAGCTACGGCAATTTTGCCCGCGTATCAGTGGAGGATACTAGGACGATATTATCCTTAGTCGACGTATAATCGGAACGATATCCTTATTTCTTGCTTGCGGAATAAAGTGTATCGCGTTGCCGATACAAGGCAATTGAAAAAACTTGTTTTTTTTTTTCAAGAAAATCAATTTTGAAATTAAAATTTTTAGAATAAATTAAAGTATCATGAGATTATCATTTTTGATTTTACATTAAAAATACGAGACTATTTTACATCTAAATGAGACAGTCTTGCATTATGTATAAACTAAATTTTCACTAATTAAAGACAATCGTTAAGATTATATCTCGACTGTTATTTCTGCTTGAACTTAAAAGACTTGCGTTTGATAAATTCCAGCAAAAGATAATAGCTATGATTCAAGACATTTTTCGAGTTATGATAGTTTCATACGGGCGATGTGTACAATTAAATTGACTTACTTTAGTAATTCTTCTTCAATAAGAAGATCATTGTCGTTACATTGTTTCACACTAATTACACACTACGAGCATTGATAAGCACAAGCGCAAGCCGGTGTGTCTTTAATTGCCTTGCAAAATAAAATTGCAACGCGAGAGTTTAATTTATTCCTTCACTGCCAGCGCGCTTTTGCGCGTGTGTACCTGCAAGACTAGTTTTGAAAATTAATTAAGACATTAGCGTAACACGTAACGCGCTGGAAACGCGCTGACACTCCTCAACTCGCAGCTAACTGGCTTTATCGTCGACTTTTGTTCAGGTGGTGGCGATTACGCGTACAGCGCTGCATACTCCCAGTATTCGAGTGCACCGTACAGCGGCTACGGCTATGGAGCAGCGACAAGCGGGTTGCTCAGTAAGTAAACAGTGAGTATGAGTACCGATTAGATTAGGGTCATCGAGGGTCAACTAACAACGCTTCTCGCTAGCGCCGTCTAAAAGAGAAGCGATCGGCCGGCCAGGGGTTGTTGCGCAATGCTCGCGAAAGCGATACCTCGGTTTCTATGCGACGACTTTCGTGTGAAAGCCGGCCGCGGCTATCCTTTGTCCCGCAGAAATTATCGCGATACTTGCAAGATAAGAAAAACTTCCGCGCGCGATCTAAATGGAATTTCTTGCCACGCTTCTCGTTAACGCGGATTACAATTCGATTCATGCGAGATAACATCGAGCTAGTTTCATAAGGAGTCGCATCGGTTCGCTCCCCCCGTCCGGCTCTAATAGTCCCCGATTCAAGCGTCTATCCTTCATAACGCACAAGATCGGTGGATTACGACGGAGATCGCGATACATCGCCAAGTACAAGCGCAGGTAGAAACGAATAGAATAATATACCGTTTTTTTTTCCCTATCGGACACGCGATACGTTACCGCCAAGCCGTACCTCCTCGTAACACGTAATGCAGATCCGTTGGCGATATCGCAACGCTCCTCGTCCCCTTCGCCGCGCGCAAGCGAGCGAGCGAGCGCGCGCTCAACTTATTTCTCCTCGTTCTTGATATTCCACGCGAGCGTTACGTGAGTGCTATAATTAAACGCGAAAATTAGATAGGTGCACCGCGGAAAACAATTTATTCCATTTTAATTCACCGCGCCGTACGTGTACGCTCACACACGCTCGCGCAACGCAAACAGAAACGGGAAAAGTTGTTGCGGGCGAAAACGCCTGAATATGCAACGCTGCAAATTGCGCACGAAACGAGAAATTTTCAAGCGTGCAACGTAAACAAGTGCTTCATTCGCGCCGTTAATTGAAGCTGCGCAAATTAAAGCAAGCGCACGCGTGATAAGAATTCGCTGCTATCAGTGTGCGCGATGTTCAAGTAGGGTCTTACACATTGATACAGCGAGACCCGCGAACTAACGCAATCGTATCGTGTTCCAGACTCCACGTACTATTATTGCAACGGAGACACGTCCACCCACACATCGCAGCAAGGCGGCGGCTGCACCAGCGGCGGTCCGGAGAGCAGCGCGGACGTGGCCAGTCGCTCGCCTCTGGCGGCCACCAGGGCCAGCAGCGGGGCCAGCGCGGCCTCGCCGACCGGAAGCGCCTGCACGAAGCCGGACCACACCTCCGCCACACCAACGGATCTCTATCTAGCTTGATGGTCGAGCCGCGCGACGGGAGAACGACTTCTGCCTCTCGGCCGATCAACGGAAGGACAGCGAACTGCGACAACGGACGCCATATCACGTTGAAGAGACATCATGTCGAAATTAAACAATGATCTCCTTTTAACCGCTTCGGAAACGCACGGTGGACGGTTTCCGAGCGCTAGAATCCACCGCCCAGTGGATCTACGGCAGCGAGGAAGATTAACGCATTGATGAGGAAAATTGGGACGGCTCGACGAGCGCTCTCTCTCTTTCTCTCTCTACGCTGATGAAAACCCGGATGAGTGACAGGAATGCGTGGAGAAGATTCTAGGATTAGCTACATTCTATATTTTATCGCGTTCGAGGTGGACGATAGGACTCGGGAATTTCATTCGATTGGAATCCAACGAGCGCGCGATGTGCGTAAAGCAAACTTGACTCAAGTGATGGGCGATATCAACATCGGCGTAAAGAGTTTCCTCGCATCGCCGCCGTTCCGCAATAAACGTGTCCTCTCTACGTTTTATTTATTTATCGGAAAACACTTATTGACCGATCGATTCATAAATTTCCGACGGCGGTGATGCGAGCGGATCTCGAATGCTCGTGAGCCGACCGCATTGCAAACGGCGTCGCCGCTCTCTGGAGAGCACACGGCGATAGGTAGTTTAATTTAATGATCCTCAGTTAGCGTAATTTCCGCGCGATGGTCGCGACAGCGTTTCAGCGAGCGCGCGCTCACTCGCTCGCTCGCATTAGCGGATGCACAGTCGCAGACCATGTAAATATATATAAATTGAACATATATAAATAAGAACAAGAAATATATATATATATTATATATATATATATGATCCGTGTAAACAAAAGTCAAGCGCCCTGATGGCACGTTTTTTCTCTCCCGTAGGCACGACGACCCCTCATCCTCCCTAAGAGTATCGTAGATTGTAACTCGATAAGTTTGAGATTTTTAAATCAGGAGTCGACGTAACGATCACTACTGTTAAGGATATTATATATATTTTTTGTAGAAACCAAAGACCACACACGCGCGAGTAAACCGCACTTTACACATGTCACACGCATACACACGCACGCAAGCACGCAGGCACGCACCGAAAACACACATACAGGAACGCGGATTGTCGAACGAACGAGCAACGTCGCGCAGCTGTGACAAAAAGCGTGACCCTTGCGCCGGTTTTGAGCGGCCTATTCCATGCGGATAAGTAATGTGTATTCGCGAACGCGTGTAGGATCGACGCAAAACTTAATTTATTTCGAAAGTAACTTGTTACGATGAAAAGTCCAAAAGAATTAAAAGATGGGTAATTCCATTGAATTTTTAAAAATTTTTTGTTAAAATAACTATGTTATAATTGTGAGTCGTGTTAAAATATCGATCACTGTGGTATAGAAAATGCTCTTTCTTATTCGTAGTAATTAGCGCAAGTCCGTGCGTGGACACTTCCTCAACGGTCCGGCAATCACGCTCGTTCTCCCGTTCCGTTCGACGCCTTCGCTGCGCTTCCGCTTTGCGGCGGAAGTCTTACTGCTTCCCGCTGGCCGTCGGGCGGAACGTACAGCAGAAGATTATCACGAAGGCGCAATTAGCGCTAGGCGTCGGCGATTTTTAATGAGAAATTACGAGCGCACGCGCTCTCCGATTTAATAATGGCGTTAATCATTGACGCCACGGCGGCACGCGCTGCCAATTTTATGCGTCTCGAATTAATCCAACCGGTCTGCCGGATATGATGTTGTAAATCGAAAATTTCAAGACGATACTTAATCTGATTATTTCTAGTCACACTCAAAAGAGATGCGCTAGTGAACAAAATATTGCAACGTGTTAAATTGAATATGTTAAATTAAAATGGCAATTTAAACAACAATTATATATATTATCTTAAATTATTATCTTAGCGCTAAGCGTCAATGTAAAATATTCTTTCAACTTATTAGCGTCGATCCAAAGCGTACTCGCGAAGTCGAAATTATCATCATTGATCCCAGCCGATTGGCCAAATTCTCGAATCTCTCGCGCGATGTTCCGTCCGTGTCAATCGCCTTTTATTCGATTAGACCGTACTTCATCGCAAAAATTGAACGTTTAGTCTCTGTCGTCTGCGTTACGCTCTTTAGCAATTTATGTTTTAATTTACTCTATTGTAAAGATAAATTTAGTAATTGCACATGAAATCACTAGATTGCTCCTCGAACTGCAATTTATTTGAAATCACAATGCGCCACGATAGCGTAATATAAAGCCGAGCGAAAATAAACAACGCAACACACGAAAAAAAATGTGTTGGCGTACTACAAATACCAGTGATAATTTCAGCTCGGCGTTGTTGAAATAAAAGGCACAATTTTTTGTTTTTTTAGAAAAGTTCGAGGAGCAATATCCAACGCGTGCGTGCACGAGATACATATTTGAATTTTAATTGGCCAAACACCGGCTGGATCAGGTGTTCTGATGTTCTGATGCTCGGTACGATTATCCCGCGACTACAATCGATATTATTGCGTACTTATATATTGTTATTTTATTACTATTATTGTAATGATGCTGATTATTAATTCTTATTCTATTTGCTATTTCCATTATTTTATCACGATTTATTATTATATATTATTATTATTCTATTATTATTCTATTATTATTATCACGTCACATCATCTTTATTATATTATTATTTAATACCTTTATTATTTATTAATTGTAACGACGACCTATGTGTAATAAGTTTTGCCAAAGAACCCGTTGAAAGAGCAATATTGCAGTAAAACGTTTTATAGCCTCCATAGGAGGAGAAGCAGTCGATTATAATATGGAATTAAACGTGAAAAATGTGAAGAGAAAAACGACTGTGTACGCGGTATTCGAGCAACGGGCGGAATTGTGAATTCGTCAGCGCGAACTGTGTGAATTCCCGAATCTGAGATTTCGACTCGAACGCCGTGACCATGCATTTTTGACCGTATACCGCAACCGAGCATACGATTATCTCATCTTATGTCATCATTTGTCCTGTGTGATATTCTTGTTCCGTGCGCCGCTCTTGCCGAGTCTCGCTGTTGATACTTGCAAACAAAAAAACTCTGTACATCCTTTTTAAATAAATATGAGGTTTATATGAACTCCGCCGCTGTACCTGATTCCCCATAAAACTGCATGTTTATTCGTATAATTATTATAAAAGACATAGCTTCAATATAATTATTTTTTAACGATTCAGATTCCATTGTGTGAAATATATCTTTACAAATCACTACATAAAGTCCTTCCTAAAGCAATTTATCTTCAATTTACACAAATTGCATATCGAGTAAAAAATTCAAAGAAAATTTTTTCCGTAATATAAAAAACACAAGTCAGATAACGTTAAATTATTAATTTATCTTGCTTTATCTAACTTAATCCTCTTAATTAATCAGTCCTCTTATCATAAGACCATGCTATAATAGATACAATAAAGATAAGACAGCTAGATATAAAATAATGACAAGACGTAAAATTATCTTTTCTTTGTAATTACATATAATATGTTTGATTTATATTTTAATTGTAAGTTTAATTTACACTATAAAACTACAGCACAAAATTTCATGCAATGTTCGAAGGAAAAAGGTACATTTGGCGACATCTTTCCTTAGCCATACCGCTTATGTAGAATAGACAAAATCAATAACTGGTAATATAACAAGAAAAAGCAGCAACGCGCACATAACTTTAATCAATTATAAAAGACAGTAAATGGTTGCATTATATTAATTATTTTAATATATGAAAAATTTATTTTCCGCATGCTATATATCTGATGGCAACTCATCTCCAGCCGCGAACGTGCATCTCTCATTTATCAACGTTATACAGCTCGATGTATGATACTGCTATATTACATGTATCATCCATATAGAATACTTTAATCAAGGTAAAGTTAATACCAAGCTAATTAAATAAAAATTAAAATAAATATAAAACAGATTTTTTTCGTATAAAGTACTGCTTTATATTTAATAACGTATACATTCTTTAAACATTCATAGAAAATAGAGATATTTCCGTATATGTAAATAACCAGAATTATTATCTTAAGTTTTTGTATATCAGCTCCCTTGAAATTGTACAATTGTTTTAACCCTAAGATATTGCTGCCTTTACATTTATGCCTTACTTATTGTAAACGTAACTCTCAGCACCGCCACGTCCGAAACCTGCAATGATAATGATTATTTCAGCAAATATAAAGATATGAATCCTTTATATTATAAGGTTTGCAAATCCAATTTGAAAACAGTTTAAAATGAAATGAGACATGCATGTAAGCGAATGGGATATAAAATACATATTAATTTAATATATTAAATGCAAGACGACGATGTTCTACGAAGTGTTTTGAATATGAAGCAGTTTTAAGGGAAACGAAGCGCTCGAGAGTCGAGATGAAGATTTCCATTTACCTCCTGGACCGAACAGGGCTGAATAGCAAGGGTGATTGCAGTAGGGTTTCCCTTCGTGCTCGGCATGACCTCCGGGTGTTAGGGTCTTATTGCATTTCTCGCAGCGTAAACACGAACCGTGCCAATCTTTGCCTAAGGATGTCTTCCTCTCGGCTGCAACACAAGATGAATGTTAACGCGCGCTCCGGCACAACGTAAAAGGCGGTTCACCGCGGCGGAACTAGTCGCGCTTTCCATATTAAATTTTATGTTTCTACAGTAACGCAGTATTCGCATTAGCGTATCGTTTCCCACGCGCGTTTGTCGATGCGAGAATAATTACCGTAAAGAAGATAGAAATTAGCAACTAGGTACATGTTAATAAAAAAAAATGGTGATAATATTAGACAAGTCAGTGTGAAATACAAGATAAAATATAATAAGATATAGAGACCCGAAGGAAGAAAAGAGAATGACAAAAATAATATTTCCATTTCATACAAAATTGATTTGACAAATTGCAGTGGATCTAATTGATCCCTCGTAAAGTTTCATAGTGTATGATGTGAACACATGTTCTAATTCATGTATGTACATACAAAGTCGAATAATATGTATAACGTTAATTAAATGCAACAATTACAAGTGGTCTTGCATTAAAATATAGAAAATTCTTTCTTACAAGATTTTCAAAATTGTTTATATGCATTTCGTAAACACATATGAAACTTAACCCTTTCAGCAAATGTTAAATATATACACCGTCCAAAGCTATGCTGTGAGTGAAGAGCGTAAATTTACAAAAAACATTGTGATTTATATGCTGTATCAAAACAGACCGCGTCTTATGCTTTAGGTGCAAACAAGTGTAAACAAGTACATGTTATCATAACCTAAAAATTCGACTTTTTTGCGTCTTTATGCCATCATATCGAAAAGATTAAATATAGAAATATATGTTCGTAATTAATTGATAGTATCACTCAAATCAATTATCCGAGATAAGTGATTCTACTCTTATCAGGAATGCTAGAGCCTCACCTTTCAAACGAAACCTGTCTGTTGCAATCGTTGCGTACGAAAAAAGTGTTCAATTCTATCGACTACTGATCGTGTCTCAAATGGTTTCCGATCCAGACTCGAACTTGACCCGAACTAAACCGAAGTTTATTGACGATGCTGGTCTGTGGCCCATTCAATGCGTTTAGGGCAACGACCTACCTATCTTTACTACTGATCAGCTGATCAGCTGATAGTATCGCTATTTATAGTTACGGGAGGCATTACCGCGTGCGACATGTACACACGCATACACTCACAAACGGTGCACACGCGCTGGATTTTTAAAACGTTATATCTCGGCGAAAAATGGACGTAGCGACCTGCGGCAAAAACGGTTCTTCTCTGCTTCGCATTCTGCATATGCCTATATTCAAATCATATGCTCTTATAATGACACGTATATATATTGTATACTTAAACAGGTAAAATATAAAGTAGTGAATTAGAAAATATGAAAAGATTCTATCTCACAATTGTAAAATATTTATTTCTTTAAAATTAATTCGTTTTTTTTTTAATTATCTACGCTTTACTCTGCACCCAGTAACTCGCTGAATTGATTATACACGTATATATCGGTCAAACGTATATATTCCAGCGTATCCTGAGGTGGCGGTATAATTCTCATGCGAATTGTGCACATTGGTCGCATCGTCTGAGTCGCGGATAATGAAAATGAGAAATGGATAGTGAGAAACGAACTCATCCATTAGCAATTTCGTAATTAGAAAATCCAATGTCGGAATCCCGACAGAATCAATCAGCGTTATTCATTAAAGGCGCGAACGCAAAATATTCTCCGGACACGTTTCACAAAGAACTTCGCACCATCGGCGGATTTTAAAAAACATATTTTGAATCCCTATGCGAGTCGCATTGTACGTGTACTTCAGTTCAATTAATTCCCAGATGCATCTACGAAAATTTACATCGGGGGTGTGCATGCGAAAGAGACGTTTTTATTATTTCCCCGCAGAAGAAAAGGAGATGATATACGACAAGAAAGCAGCAAAAAGCCGTTCAAATTACATTTTGTAAGGTACTTAGAATATTACAGCGCGCTTCGATTATTTCTTCAGGTTTTAATTTCATAGTTCCTTGAACTTTAAATTTGTTCCAAAGTTATCAATACTAAGTATTTAGAAAGATAATGAATGATCACATTCATTCTTTAAACGGGACTAATACCTCGCTTCCAATGTTATTTACACTTTTCGTTTTAATTATCCAAGATAAGATTAAATCGTGCGTGAAATTAAACACATTGATAAAGATAAGTATCCGCTTGCAATACGATTTGCCGAGTTTCAAAGGTACGGCAGGCTTTTCACAATTTTCCGTAATAAAGTCTACGGTTTGACATTTCATTGACTTCTAATACTCTTATTCGCGTGTACTGCTCGTACATACGCAACGAGTCGACAAAAGATTCGCGAAAGCAGACGACCGATTCTTCTCTTCTACCGTTGCATCGTGGGCGGAATATCATGCCGTTATGGCGTATCAAATCTCGTAGGGAAGACAAAAAAGGAGGAAGAGAGAGAGAGAGAGAGAGAGAGAGAGAGAGAGAGAGAGAGAGAAAGAGAGAGACTCGAACCGCAGCAGGCTGGTTGCATTCAAACGCTCCACCGTATCTAAGAAAGAGTACAAAGGTGGTAGCGCCGGTGAGGGAAATTGGAAAATGACGATGAGACGAGAGCGCAGCGCGTGCATCGGGGAGGAAAGGGTGCATCGGTGAAAGCGAGATGCAGTAGGGAATGAGGGATGGCAACGTGTATGGTAGAAGCAACACTGGGAGACGAAATCAGGAGAGAAGGAGCGAGAGAAAGAGAGAACGCGCGCGCGGTGTTTCACGGGTAAGAAGGGTATGTGCATAAAGGGCCATTAGTTAATTAGCTCCTAATTATCTGACGACGGAGAAGCGAGTGCATAATCGTCAGCGGCATTCGCCGGGCTGCGCAACGCACCGGCAGCGCGCGAAAAGACGCGAGACAGTGCCCAGGCGCTGTCACACAATCGGCCGTCGCCACTGATTGCATAGGCCCCACAGAACATCATCCCTTTCTCTCTTTCCCCTCCCCCCCTCCCCCCTTCCCACTCTCCCGTTCTACTCTCCGACCCTTACGTGTTGTCTTTTCTTTTTTTTTTCTCTTCGACGGAAGAGAACAGCCCCTGCGCCCGCGGCGGTCCTCATCTATGCCTGTTGTGCCTGCTTTCAAACCGTCATCCACAACCATCGTACCGTCCCCCTCCACCCTTCTACGTTGCCCTCACCGAAGCCACAAAACCCTTCGCAGCTCGGTCTCTCCTCCCTCGCAGCAGGGGCAGCGGGAAACGACCGACTCCTCTCCGCACGGTTTCCCCCCCCCCCTCCTCCTCCCCCTTCTACCTTCTCGTACCACACTACCACGAGAGACCTGGCCATTCTTCTGCAAACCTGTTTCGCGTGTCTGTGTTGTTCTTATTAGTAGCCGCGCGCGCGATACACCGACTGCGTTTCCTTTGTTGTTGTCCTCGCGGCTGGACAGTTTATTGTTGCTGCATTCAGCGCAGTGTGACTTTGCCCGATGCAGGTTTTTTCCTCATCCCACTATCTCTCTCTCTCTCTCTCTTTCGTGTCACGATTATTTTCGATCGTTCTTTTTTTCCGTTCATCTTTGAATTAATATATTAGCTAATGATTCTCGTATGCGACTCGTGAAATAAATGCACGAATATTATTTGTTTTGAGTTTATTATAATTTATAATAATAATAATGTCGGAATTTTCGTATGTTTTAATTTTTAAGCGAAGAATTATTCGACGAATATGAACACAAGCGTAATCTACCTGTTTGTGTAAAAGAGTTTCTAGTTAATTGCTCACGCGTTTCAGAGCGATTTAACACAAAAAGAGGATGTTTTCTTTTTCCAAAACTCGTCGTTATGACATTCATCTCGTACGTACGTTCATTCCGTACCGCAGTCAATCCGTTAGCATTAACGAGCTCCAAAAAAACACTCGCGGGGGAGGGGGAGGGGAGGGGAAAAGCTGGATTAAAAATCGTTTGAATGTAAAATTAGCGCAAACTCTACCCTTCCAGATTTAAGCTTTATTAATAGAATGAGACAAGCAAAACTTAAATCGGATTTTTCAGATGTTTTGAGGTCAAAAAACAAGCCTTGGATTTTATCGCGGTAAAATGCGCATTCTGATCGACTGTCCGTCTATATTTATCTATAGACGAACAGGACTACTATGCACGATGCGCACCTTGTAACACTCGACTTTAGATAACGTTATCAAAACGTTCTTCGCCGATTACTAAATTACGGTATACGTTACAACGTACGGTACAAAATACCGACTCGTAGGATACCAAATACATTTCAAACTTCGAGGTTGTTTCTTCATTTTCGAGAATTATTATTGATAGCAGTCGATCGATTTTTCAAAATTAAAAAAAAACGTGTAATGCGAATCAATAGATTACTGTGTAGAAGTCGAGTCACTCGTCGCAAAGCAGAGATATAACTTTACTTAATTTTATTTAAATCTGTGTCTCTTGCACAGGTGCAGCTTCTGGTTACAACGAGTTTATTCTGTAGAAGCCGACTGGATTACTCATTCACTCTATACTCGTAGTAAATGCGAGTCTATATACAATGAAGCCGGCTGACATAATGTTTGCCGAGGTGAATTCCGAGGTCGTTCAATGATATCATTGATGTCGTCACCGCATTTACCATTTCGAGTATATATTTATGTCTGATATTCTGTGCCATTCGTATGGTTTGAGCTTATGAATTGAGATACAAGAGCACTCTAAGAAGATGTGTACATTTATTATATTATATTTTTTTAAATTTATGTCAAAAACACTCCATCTAGTCTCACTCTATCAGTGTAAAATATAAACGGCATGCGTAACTGATGCTACTATCGCTTCATAGAATTGTTCCGTTTATCATACACTAACACCCCCCCCCCCACTCTGTCTTCCGGGAAAACACAAGTGATAACATAATTAGCTAATATTAGATAATATGGTTTTAGCTTGCTTTCGATAAAATTGAAATGTGAAACGTATTCTATTTATGTTTAAATGCTTCAAGTTCCTTTTATTATGTAACGCACATAACTTATGAAGTCATAGATTATGGTTATCATGTTACATTTATTACAAAAGCATAGTTTATACGATTATCATATATTACGTTTATTAATATAAGATATAATATGGATAATTTATCGTTATGTAATCATGTTTACGAAATGGCAGTGTCCAAGAAAAATCTTAACAAATAAAATAATATAAATGTTTTCCATCGATTCTTAGATGAAAATCAAATAGCTCGAATGCCAAAACGCAGATGATCTTTGTTCGCAGCGACGAGCGCGAAGTACATTCTTCATATCCGTAAGATCGCAAATTTAACTCACCGAAATTATATTGGTTTCGATTTTTCGATAACAGGCGTCGAAATAATAATCGTTATCTTACCGAAGTACACAGGCTTGTCGCACTTTGGGCAATTCGGCATCTTGTTCCGTGAAGAACCGGCTCCGCAGCTCGACGAGATGGTGCGTGTAACTAACGTAAGGATGCTTTCAGCGGCGCGGTCAGACGCGTACTGGCCCTGAGAGCACGGCAAGGTAATGCTACGCTCTCCAGTTGATTGAGCGTGTGAACGTGTGTTAAGGCTAACGGCTGCATGAATACACGTCGAGAGCCCGGCTGTAGCGGTGTGTGTTTTAGCACGGGGCAAATGTTACCTGCTCATCGTTATGCAATTCTGTATGCAAGCATTTGTGTGTATATATATATATATATATAGGGTGTTCTAGGTCCACATCGTATCTTTTTTTATTTATGAATCTTTTACCTAATTAAAAAAAAGTTACACCCAAGAAAGATATCGACGTTAATAAATTTAAAATTATTGAGGAAGTTCGACTTCCAGTTGATCGTAAAATTCATAGAATAAAAACTGAGGAAAATCCGGGACACGTTGTACACGTATCTGATTAGCAAGTAGTGACAGGTTCGATGTCGGCTTCATTCGACGCATTCGTTACTTTCTTCGGTCGCCCTGGAATAATCCCGTTAGCTATTGTGAACAAATTCGTTATCAAAACTACGGCGACGCAGCGAGACGTCGTTCATGAATATTCAGCTCGGCAGTTTGTTAGACACAAATAACGGAGCGGTTCGAAGTATCGAGTGGCGAAACGCGCGCGCTCCGAAGGTATTTACTCGTAAAACTGCAACGCGATACCCACGAAATTAATTAATTATCGGAATTTGGGTCGGGGGAGCTGCGCCGCGTAACGTCGCGTAACCAGAGGGCGATGCGGAAAATGCCGCTCAGAATTTTGGAATTTATTTTAACGGGATTACAAATATCCCGGGAGTTATTCGCTATCGTAAAAATTTTACGTTCACTGCGATCTTTACTTATCGTAATGCGCGTACAGACGCGCAGTGTATGCGTGCATGAACGGAACATGAGATCTTTATTGAATAATAATAATTATCTGCTGTGCGCAAGTGGAAACCAGCGTATACCAGAATCCGTATAATAGTTTACTTCAAAGTTATAAAATATTACATAATATTAACATAATTTTCAAACAGTTTTGTTGAATTATAACGACCACATCCTTTGCCACGTCCGGTGATAACGTCTGGTACTTGGATGTTTGCGCTAATCATACGCATAGCGCGTTAGTCACTCGTGAGCATTAAGAGCGCCGTCGTTGGATTAAATTATGCAGAGTAACGCGAAAAAAAAGCAAAATGGACATAGTGCAAGAAAGTGTCGATCACAATCACGCCGCGTTCATATCAGCGATCGAGAACAGGGAATTTAACAAGGCGAAGAAAATTTTAGCGATCGACAGTCAAAACAAATACATTCGTTCAGTCGGTGCTCTTCAAATAACGGCCTTGCACGTTGCAGCGTGGCAGGGAAGTATAGATCTGTTGAACCTACTTTACAAAAGAGGCGCCGACGTGAACGACGTGGACAAAATCGGCAGAACCGCCCTTTATTATGCGGCACACGAAGGCAACGCCGAAGTGACAAAGTGGCTTGTCGAGCGTGGAGCGGACGTCAATGCCAAAGTCGGTGTCCACTCGTGTGCCAGAAACAACCCGTATCCTTCGTTGATGAAACTTCGTGATGTGGGGAAGAAAGTTCGTATCACGAAGATACCAAGTTCGTGAAACCTTATTAAATAAAATTAAAAAAAAAAAAAATTTTTACCTGTTTTAGTTGCCGTTACCCGTGTGCTGGGGAAGAACACCGTTGCATCAGGCGGTGAGAAATAATCATGCCGATATTGTCCGTATTCTGATAGAAGGCGATGCGAATGTAGATGTTCAGGACGACCACAACATTACTCCGTTGCTCCTGGCGGGAAACGTAATGAATCGCAATAAGGCCAATGAGATGGCTAAGTTCGTCGAGATCATTGAAATCTTGGTCTTCGCCAAAGCGGCCATCAACAGCGTTCATCCAAGCACAGGTAATTAATCTAACGTTAATCCTCTCTTTGCAAGTCGGATTAATTCCGACGAATAAGGCGATATTAAATTTCCTTATTTCAAGATAAATGTACCAATCAATTATGGCAATCTAGAATATTTTTTGCAATTGAAAAAAATTCTGTTTGCTCAAATGCTCATAGGTACCACGGCTTTACACCACGCGGCGATGTTAGGCAGTGCAGAAGCGACGCAGATATTATTGGCGAACGGTGCGGAGCCGATGTATAGATGCAGCAGCTCCGGAAGCACACCTTTACACATCGCCGCGAATACAGGGAATTGTGAAACGTTGATGACGCTGCTTGAAGCGATGCCTTTCGACATCGACACTCCAGATCAGGTCAGCTGTTTCTTTGAGAACAACTGGCAAAACTGCAACGACAAAGCATCACATTTTTTTTTTTATTCGCTTAGATCAATCGCACGGCTCTTCATATAGCAGCTTATCAAGGACATCGCGAATGCGTGCGAGCTTTAATCAGTTATGGAGCTAATCTAACCGCGACGACGAATACCGGTGTCACCGCCGTCGATGCTATATTTTCTCATATTTCACGACCATTAGAATTTTTAAAGAATATTCTAGATTCCTGCGTTCAGCCGGGCAATAAGTATCGTTCGGAAAAATACGAAAATGTAAGAATTGTTTTACATCTATTGCTAGACAGAGATACAGATATTTCCTATGTCGTTATTACGTATTCTAATGAATGGAACATCTCTCTGTTAAAGATCGTTGTCGACTTCAAAATATTGGCACCGAAATACAATCAGATGCAAATGGCAGTAGTTACGGCTATTATAGCCGCAACCTCAAATATAACGCAACTGGCGATATTGCAACATCCTCTTATAGAGACATTCCTTAGGCTGAAATGGGCAAAATTGAGGACACTTTTCTTCGGTTTCATGTTCGCGCATCTTTTATTTGTCATTTCCCTCTCGATCTACGCTATAATGAACGTACAGCATATCACGACGTACATCGAAGTAGTTCAAGGATGTCTGATATTCTTTTCCTGCTTCATCCTATTTAACAATATAATTCAAGTTACATTAGAGCCCAAGTAAATATGTAAATAATTATTAATACTTACTATGTTATTTTTTTCAACTGACTGACACTCTAAATATTTCAGACATTATTTGAGACAATTTGAAACGTGGTTGTCGTTCGTGTCCGCTACGTTGGCGTTAGCAGCATCCGTAACAAGCGATTTTGCGAAGTCAAAGCACAATAATAAATCTGAATTCTCGATGTTCTGGGTGCTGCACTTCATCAGTCTCGCAATTCTGATGAGCTGGATGCACATGATGCTGTTAATCGGCCGAGTTCCAATGTGTTATCCTTACGCTTTGATGTTTTCCACGGTTTTGAAGAACATCGTAAAGGTTCGACAATGTAGCTTCCTTGCAACCTTCTTCAAAACAAATTGCAATTAGATGTATATTTTCTATGAATATTTTTACAATTATAGTACCATCTAAAATTTGATTTTTGTTAAATAATGCATTGTTTGTCGTATTTATTTTTGTACGTAATCGTTGATCTCTCATATTTATCGCTCACAATTAAACTGACGGTTCACTTTCTACGGTCTACAACCGCTGAAAATAAAAATGCTAAAAATAAAAATAGATAGAGAAAATCCGCACAGATAATACGCATCCTAGTATTTTCTTAATTTGAAGCTTTTCATTTTTCAGGTTCTCCTGGCGTTTTGCTGCTTAATTATCGGATTCGCGTTCAGCTTTTCCATTGTGTTCCATGGTCAGGATGAATTTAATTTTTGGAATTCCATAATGAAGACCATGGTAATGATGATGGGTGAATACGAATACGAGAAATTATTTCCCAGCAACAATACGACATATAACGAAAAGGACAAAGGTATCTTCCTACCATTTACAGGCCAGATCATATTCTTTGTCTTCATCATGATCGCCAGCATCGCCCTGGTCAACCTCATGATCGGTCTGGCAGTCAATGACATTCAAGGCCTCGAAAGGGAGGTACGAATGTTTATCAATCAAAAATTCAGTCTATTTCCATGGATGCATACTTAATTATAAAAAATTACATTAAGCTATTAATATCATTGATATGCAACTAGCCAATTAAAATAATCAACATTGAAATTAACGTTCTTGCATTAGGGCCGTATACGTCGATTGTTGAAACAAGCGGAGTTCATCGCACATTTGGAAAGAGTGACGTCACATCGAATATTCCGCTGCAAGTGGCTATTTTGCTTAATAATGATTCCCACGAAAATTACGCTGGCCAGTCGTCAAAGTTATCACCGTATAAGTCATCTTTTAGAGAAGCCGATTCCTAAAATTCCCGCCGATTTAATAGATGCTTTATTTTTGTTAGCTAATAAACCATTTTTCAGCAATGATAAGTAAGATTGTGATAATCGGGATAAAATATATTTTTTGTACTCGAAATCGAAAGTTAAAATTATATCATTTTACTAACATAATATGTATATATTTTTGTTCCAGCTCAGCAGATGAAAATATAGAAATCAATGGCAGATGGCTGGTTTCCACGTTATTTAATTTAGAGGAACAAATTCAACATTTGAAAGCATATTCTTATCGAAATTCGACGAATCGAAAATCGATGAATCGACATAGAGTTAGGAAAAAAAATATTAGAAAAAAACAATAGTATTGTAAATTTTTAACATCTTGCACATATACCAAATTTAATTACTCTTCAGAGTACTGAATGCGTAGCAATATTATAATCTCTAAATAAAAAATTATAAAAAATCTTACTCTACCTTCAATTCTACTTATGAATCACGTTTCACACATTTTTCATATTATTTACTCAATAGAGTTACAAGTGCCATCTAGTATCTCCATCGATGAACATCGAGACAACTAGAGTCGCTTAATGTATCGGAATATTCGTGTCCACCATGACACTTTTTAAAAGCAGAGTTCAATTCGCGTTGAGCGTCTCCGGTGTCGCAGTGAAATCGCGATCACTCCGCGTCCTCGCGTCTCTTTCATCTGTTCCTGATCAATCCATCCACAAATGAATATTGAACGTGTCGCATCTAGCAGCAAACGACGTCTCAGAGCATTCGTCAAAATGCGCGATCGCGATCAGCACAGTTCTCGGTGTTTGTAGTCGGCGTTTGTCCTTTCGCATTTCGTCGCACGGTCCATTCTCGCATCCACGTATTTTGCGTATATTTCACGCTCATTTGAGGCGCGTACTCGTTTGAGGAGCATTGTAAGTACCTAAACATTGTTTTTAATATTTACGACTTCTAGTAGCATCAATAGACGTATCGAGAAATCACCGCGATAAGTGTATATAGATAGGTAGAGTCTCTTGATATTTAAAGATACTCGCAGTGCGCCATGATACGTTTGAAACTAGCTCATTTCACGTCAAGCAAGCCGATGCCGCGGTCGCATTGTGATCGCTCCGTGTTTTCGTGTTTATTTTGCTGTTTCGGATGAGTTCCGCGTACAAATAAATGTCGATAGTGCTGAATCTAACAATGAGAAAAAATCCCGAAGTGTTAATCAACTCGCACGATCGCGATCAACGTATTTCTCGCATTTCTCGTATAACCTGCGTTTATCGTATCGTATTTCGTCACCGGACTTTATTTTCAGACGAATGCATTTTCTCGTGTATTTCGCATTATTCGCTCGTTAAGCGAACATCGCGAGTGTCACTCGATATTTGCTGTATCAAGAGGCATCAATGAAAAGCATCAACGGGAACATCGAGAAATTGCCGCCATGATTTTATAGCGGGATATGATGATATTAGAATATTGGGAGGGTTGCGTCCGCCATGACACTTTTCGAAACTAGTTTCGCACAGTTTACGTCGAGCGTCTCCGGTGTGTTATTGTATCGTGATCGCTCCGCATTCTCGCGTCTTTCTTGCTCGTGCCAAGTAAATTGTGTGTGTGATCAAGCGTCGGGAGTGCCAAATTTAGCGACGTGCAATCGTCAAAGTATCAATCAACTCGTACGATCACGTATCTCGGCGTACGTAACCGATGTCCGCCGCTTTGCGTCTCGTCGCCGGGCTTCATGTTTGAGTGTGCGCGTTTCGTGTGTGTTTTCCGCTATTCACTCATTTGATGAGTGTCGCGAGTGTTATTCATCTACAGTGGAGAGGATCAACGGGAGCATCGATGGGAACATCGAGGGATCGCCGCGCCGTGGATTTAGAAAGTTAGGCAAACGCAATACATCGCTGCAACACCTCCATATACTGGTAAGTTAGCGATCTATCTTATCTTCTTAACTGTAATACTATAAAAATACTTTACAAATATGGCCTACAGATGTCACCACACAAACTACAGTTCACGTTTTCGATATCTTATAGTTGTGTGTAAAGCGAACAGCTGTTTTACACGACGTCCCGTTTCAATAAGTTTAAATTTCTTCGACACACTTAATTAAATTTTCATATTGTAGTCGCATTGTTAGTTTTGCGTATGCACACTTTTACGCAGGCAATATATTTCGACGCGTTTATCGGTGTGGCATTAAAGATAAAGGGTCTGAATTTTAATTTTTATTAAAGTGTAACTTAACGAGACGATCAGACAAGATTTACGCGTAACCACATATAAGAGTAAATTAACGCAGTAATTAACAATATTTATGACAGTACATAAAACGCTAGATTGTCGTAAGCTCGAAGGCGACACGCGCTGCCGTATCTCTGAATATATGCTATTAAAAATTTTTTTTAACCATGATATACATTTAACCAGCGAGTTTCGCGTGTTCGCGTCTCCATATATCCGGCTACTAAACAACCGCGCGTATTACCCGCGATGCAGCAGTGGCCGAGAATTACACAGCCGAAAAATATTGCGGAGTATAAATTATAACCCGGATAAGTGTATTTGCAAAATATACGCTCTTTTCCAACGGTACGTCGTATCGTGGCAGTGAACTTTTACCGTAAAACATGTAATTTTGCTATCTTACTCATTCTTGGTATTTTTATTTAATTCTCTGTCGTGCATACAATTTTATAATATTCCTGCGATACAGAAAATAAAAATCTATTTACAGGAGAAACAGCACTGCGAAATTTCATTTCAATATATTTCACTTAAATTTATATTTCGCGATGATAATAGTTCTATTGATCGCATCACGTACAGTTGCAATAGGCAGAATATATTGAAGCGCTTATGCGATACGTTAATATTTAGACGCATTTTAATTATGTAATTCAATGCTCGATATATAATAGATTTGTTGCATTCGTAAAGTTTGCCTGTCAGGTTAATTAAAAATTTATCAGACAGCCGCACAGAGATTCAATTGAAATTCGATTTAGGCAACGTGTAAAAAGGAACAACGATAGCAAAAAACGGGAATCGAAAAACTCATTGAAACTCGCGAGAGGAAGTGATTCTCGTTGGTGATACGAATTTAGATGCTTTCATGACGTATTAAATTCGCTTGTACGTCGCAGTCCTGTATGTTTCCGGGACGCGACGATGCACAGCGCGATTTCGGGAACGTATTCGAAATACGCGACGTTGTTTTCTCGATTTTGCACCGTCAGAGGAAACACGGCTATCCCGGATTTTCTCTCTCAGCTCGTACATAATTTTCAGGAATCCGGAACGTAGACGCGCGTCCGATACGAGCTCTCCGCGAATTACAGTACAGAATAAAAGCATGCAGGGAAATCTAGGTACATGATGAGATATTCTTCTTTTTATCGCGAGCATAAATCATACTGAGAAAAAAAGATAAAATCGCGATTTAAAATAATTCCGCTAAAATCGGAAATTTGCTGAAATTAACTTGTACTTTTTGTTGATAGGCAGCTTATTGAATTTTCTATTTCAACATCTAATTTTTCAGTGCAATTTTATATTAATTGAGGTAATAGTGATTCGCGAATTTGCTTAATAAGGGTTCTCCCGATAATACGTTAATTAAACGCTGAAATTGATTGCAATGGGTGGTAGCCGACACATAAATTATCATAAATTATTACGTTCTTCCGCGACTATGAAGAAATCACCGAGTGCACCTGCTCTAATGACTTCACACGCCTTGCCCAGAAAGAAGCACGTACGCTTAAATGCTCATGCCCGAGAATAAATTCATCATGACCCTACCGTTTTTATATTTCACGATCGTTGAATATATATCCGATAAATTTCAATCCAATACGATGTTGCAAAATAAGAAGGCAAAAATTCGACTCACGCAGTGAGAAAAAAGGCCTCCAACGAGTCATCTTAACGAGTCTGGCGAATGAATGCGCTAACCGGCGACATTTACGAGCGTGATCAGCCGGTGCGCGCGCGTACACTTCTTGCGAGTCGTAAAGCTTTGGAACAAATATAAAAGTCGTTTGGATTTCCTTGTCTTCGTTATCAAGCGTGAGATAACTCTGAATAATTCGTCAAGAGACAAACGTATCGATGACTTTAAAACGTCGTTTGCGGTGGACAAGCACGATTCTCTCGTCGCAACGACGACGAGGATACAGATAACGACGACGCAGACAACGATAACGACGACGACGACGACGACGTTGACAACGTTCACGATGACGGCGGCGGCGGCGGCGGCGGCGGCGGTGGTGGCGACGGAGACGATGCCGGAATACGTTCGGGTGAGATCGCGTTCTCTCGGGTGGGGTCGGTTCACCGCCTTGCCTGCCATGACTGGCCGAGCACAGCGTTGCGGGGAGCGAGGTGGCGCGTCGACGAGGGAAACCGCCGCGGTGAATCCGGCGTCGTGATTGGTCGCCGCGTGGGAGAGCCGCCCGCCCGAGCTCACCGTCGCCGGCAGTCGGCACCGAGCATCCAAGTAGAGCGCATCGAGGCATTCGGAGTCGGGCGAGACATACATATACACGGGAATAACACGGCAATTTCGAACATTGCTTGCTACACATACGGGCACGATGGCCGCCCGGCGCGTGCACCGTCCGCAACAACAACAACAACAACAACAACAGTGCCGTAGTTGTCGCAGTGCCGCACTCGTCGCGCGTCGTGTTTATCGCACGGGTCCGCTTACGGAAACGGAATCGCAGCGTCGCACGCTCGCAGAAACATCGTGGCCACCGTCTTTGTGCGGATATGCGACGCGCGGACAGTGCTCGCGGTGCGCGTGTTAAAAAGTCCACACGCAGTTAACGTTAAGAGAGCGAGTAACTTGGCTGAGAGACAGCGCGCGTCTCACTCCGCTGTAAGCTCTGTACATTAATACGTCACGGCCTGCCTTCTGTACTACCTCTGTCCAACGCCTCTTTTTTCCTTCTGCGTCACGCGCTCTCTTTCTCTTCTCGCATCCTACGCCGTGCTTCACGTTCTCCTCCTCCTCCTCCTCCTCCTCCTGCAACGGCGGCGACCTTCCCACGCGTATCTCTCTCTCTCTTTCTCTCTCTTTCTCTCGCTGACAACGACCGGAAATTAAACGCGCGCGAAAAGCGCGGCCGTGCATCGCGTAACAGAGTGCCGGGGGATCTACTTGAGAGGCGCGCCCGATCGTCTCGTTCCGTCGGGCGAGACGTTGCGCCGTCTCCGCGCGAAGCGTTCTGACTCAAGTGCGCTGCGATTGTCATTTCAACGCTCGCATTCGGTGCACCGTCTCGATCAGGTCGAGTGTAGCGTAGGTAGACGGCAGTACGCAGGTAGACGAAAAGCATTCGCTAGCTCTGTCTCTCGCAAACAAAGTAGTGTGGCCTAACCTCGTCATCTCAAGCATTTAGTGACGAGACCGGCAAAGTACAGTGGCGACAGTGACGGTTTCTCTGTGCTACAAAGTTGCCTCGATAACGTCGTACGCGATAAGGTTCTCGTTCGGTTAGTGCGCGGTCAGTGAGACACGGATGTGAACGGTGATACGCGATCGGTATTTAAAAAGTGCAAACAAATCGCCCCGTCGGCCGTCGAAATTATCACCACGCGCCGACGGCGACGGGCGAACGGCGTTTAACTTTGAGAGCTCTAACCTCTTCGTCGCAAGTTTTATCGCAGCCGACGGACACGCGTCTCTCACCGAGCCGAGCCGATTAGTGTAAGGACTACGTGCGAGGACAGGGAAGACGGTGGCTGTCGCTCGCGTGCCCGCAATAATGCCGCACGTGAGCAGCAGCGGCGGCGGCGATGATCTCGGCACTGAGGACGAGATCAAGGTCTTCAAACATGAGGGCGAAGGAGAGGGCCAGGAGAAAGCCTCCTCAGAGAACCTCACTGAGGACAAGAGTGATCTTATCGACCTTACTGAATCTGAGGTGCGAAAAATTTCTTCGTCACAACACCGACTTCATCCTCCTTGTTGTCCACCTTGTGTCTTGGTGTTGCAATTTCCGCGATATATCCTCGCATACCCTTCCCGATCACCCCTTGTAGAGCCGCAAGGACATCAAGTATTAAGTGCGTGCATCTCGTGTGTTGCAGGAAAAGGTCTCACTCGCTGGTGGGAGCTACGCGGCGACGGGAAAAGCATCGACGAGATCTGATCTTAGTCCTGTTTTCGGTAAGTCCCTTCAATTTTCTCACCACGAAACTCCGTGTTTCGAAGCGTGCTTTTAGTTTCTTAAGGTTATCAAGCGCCATTATCGCGTTTATTTTGCATTCACTGACGCCGTTCTTGTATTTTACGCACAGCTGTTGATGCTCGCGCAAAAACACGTAGGAATTGAAGATAAATCGCCTCTTTCGTCACAGAGAGTCGACACTTGATATTTCGCGAGCGACGCTCGAGTGCACGCAGGAAATCGTATCGACGCCAATTTCGTCGCGTGAGTTTAATTATTTGTTAGCTTCCCTCGTAATCCAACCGAGTCAACGGGATCGATAAATCATTCGGCTACATCGCAGCAAATAGTTGGCCGAAGGCCTATTTAAATGGAAATAATGTGCAAAAGTTCTCGCATATAAAGTCGTTAACGTAATTTTAATTTTACGACGTATCATTAATCAAGTCTTCCTTTAAAACTCATTATTTCGTCTTCAGGTATTCAACGGTAACACATTTCGCATGTGTATATAGAGAACGCTTTGATTTCAGTTTATATATCGATAATCTATACCGTGTGTGAAGCGGCGTAACGTATCGCGTTAAAAATATTTCGCCTCAATAGGTTTTCGCGAGATCTAGTTCTCGCGATTGATCGCGGAATACGGGGAAAAATTAAATAACCAACTTTCAGCGACGACAGTTTGTAATAGGGTATAGATCTGCACACTTAGACCAGACTCGATACTGTGTCATAACGTTGCACAGGTATCTTTGCTACTACGGGTCGTACGCGCTACCTCGCGCGCCTAGATTAACGTCATTTGAAATCGATCGCGGCACGATAAGTGCCTGCTCTCATAGCCGCTTTCACGGTCCGATGATAATCGCGTCTGTGTGCGCGCTGTGCGTCGGCTAGGGAAAATATGTGACTCGGATTCCCGGGCGTATGGCTGTCCGCTAAGCCACGGCGCTCCTATTAATTTCCTCGCCATTACGCCGCATTACGTTGCACGTCGTCACCGTTCGAAAGGTTCTTCTTCTTCTTCTCCGTCGTCGTCGTCGACGGCGGCGGCCTTATTGCCCACACATTCTCCCGCCGCAATAATCGCGAACGCCCGAGGCGTCGACAACGACACTTAGACAATTCTGCGCGATCGTGAAGGAGAGAGAGAGAGAGAGAGGAAGAGAGAAAGACATCACGTTGCTCTTATTGGCACGACGTCAATAAAAGCTACTTTGTAAGCCGTCTTGAATCGCGTTCTCTCTCCTTGTAAAGCTCATCGCCGAAATGGCTAACGGCCGACTATTGTGCGAGCGACGATTACAGAAACACGGTGACAATGTTTGGAAACGATCCGATTCATATACCAAGTTCATTGTCGCTTGCGTGACAAACGCTCAAGAAATTTATAATCTCATTAATTTACAACTTTATCTTGTCGTTTGAATGTTATATATTTACGCATCTTTCTGTCGTTGAACGTGTACGCTAAACTTTTAAAATTATAGTTATAGTTTAACGGGAAATATCGTTTATAAACGATATTTTGTAGAATGTGTAAAGATAATATTCTAATCGCTAATCGGTGTTGCGAGTTATGGAAATGAACGGTGCTCGCGAGGCGCGATGACATTGTCAAACGCCTCGCAGAAAAACCAATATAATTTAAACAATGTACTCGTTCGAGCAGACTGCACATATTCCACATGTTTCAGAAATAAAACGGTAAAAAGCGCGACCAATATCATCTACACATTTTCGAAATTAGCGCAATTTTCTGAGACCCTGAGGTCATGTTTTTAACATGTTTAATCGAATGCATTAACATTATTTTAATATAAAGTTTATAAATGTAAAAAGAAAATATTTACGATTAATAGTTGTTGAACGCGTCATTTATAATATCGAGGATTTCAGGTCAGCTTTCAAAGAAATAAGAACGTTTTTTTTTTTTCAAATCTTGAAAATATTATTCTAAGATATATATTTCTGTATACATAACAGAAAACTAATCTTGATATATTTCGCTTCTTAAACGCTGTCTTAAAGTTTTTAATGTCTTCCCGTCTTTCAAAGTTCGGAGATTAAGTTTACTTCCACTTATCGGTTGTGAAGAGGAAGCCAAGGCGAAGTTTGCGACGACAGATTCGTTCGGAACAAATCGCGCCGACGTGTCAGTAACGTATACAATAAAGTGCGTTTCGTCGTGCCCGTTGGCCAGCTCTTCCTGTTCCCTGCCAGACTTTGTCACTGACAAATCGATGTCGCGCTACCGCGCGCGCTGTCACGCTGTTGCCAAAACATTTTAATGAGTTAACGTGGACTCACGTCTCCTGACATGTCGTCCCGTGTCCGAGATGTTGCAGACACGATTACAGCGCGACCGTGTGTACGTGTGTGGAGAGCGCCGGTTGTCAAATATGCCGGAAACTTCGGCGCGTAAAAATATCCCGCGTTTTGCATCTTACATAATGCGCAGTCGAACAAGATAGTCGCGAACTCATTTAACTTTCAACTCTCCATACTTCTTTTTCCTCGTCATCTGTTACGTTATATTTTTTAAAAAAATATATGAATGAACGGAGATCACACACGCGGATTATATGTGTCATTCTGCAGAGATCATAATTTCCATTGACCAGATTCTGTCATTCACGTCGTCCATGGATCACTTTCGCTTTATAGATATATGAGCACGCGAATACTGAAGGACGAGAGGGGGGAAAGGATTCGTTGCACTCGCCGTCAGAAAACGTGTAAAGCGTTACGTCGGGATCCGTTGTAATCGCTTAAGTGGTTAATTATGGCTCTTCGAGGAAGGCCGCGCGCGCGAGGCTGGAGCGGAATTAATCTTGGCATCGGCTGACTTCACTAGAGCCGCTTCACGTGTTCTTTTTCTTGTCGCTTGTATGCCTGAAAACTAGTTATTCAGATATGTCAGGAGAGAAACACAGAGAGAGAGAGAGAGAGAGAGAGAGAGAGAGAGAGAGAGAGAGAGAGAGTAGTAGTACGTACGTACGTCGTA